TTGTACTTGTTCCTCTGCATGAATGCTTTGGCAGAATTTGAGTGGTGTTTAGGGTCGTTGAAGTATCCAGCCCCAGCGCAACTTCAACTTTGTCACTGATTCTTGAACATTGTTCGCAAGAATTTGCTGATACTGACTGTAATCCATGCAACCTTCAACTTTAACAAGTTTTTAAGTATTTGCGTATTAACAACTGTTGTACGAGATTTCCTTGAATACTTCTCCAGTCGTTTATTTTGCTTTATTGTTGGACCTGTTTTGTTTGACGTTTTGCTATTAAAACGAATCGACCATCTACCGGCTGCTTCCATTCCTTGCCTGAAGACACCTCGCTTTCACGATGACAGTCGTGACTGTTGTTTCCCTGTGTTTCCCCTTGTTTTCCCCATCCTTATGTTGTGTACTTATCTCTGTCTGTGTGGTGGGCGTGGCACATATCCCTGGTCCTGCCTGGATAATCACCGAAGCACACCTGCCGTTCCTCAGCTCACCTGCCTTCAATCAACTCATCACTCTGACTGCATAAAAACCCAGGCCTTTCTTCCACTGCTTGTCAGATTGTTTGTTCAGCCACTGTGGTAGTTAACGTCCCGATTGACTTCAACTATTGTTCTTTGTGCTTCCTGTTGATTTATTGAATGATTTTTAATCACCAATCCTCTAGTGCTCAGGTCCAACTAGAACTGTGCCTGTGGTCTTCCATTTCCTCACTATGTTCCTCACAGTGGAAACTGACAGCTGAAATCTCTGAGCTAGCTTTTTGTATCCTTCCCCTAAACCACGATGTTGAACAATCTTTGTTTTCAGGTCATTTGACAGTTTTTTTGAGGCTCCCATGCTGCCACTGGCAGCCTGCCCTTCTTCAGAGAAGATGCAAAGGGGAGAACAACTTGCAACTGGCCACCTTAAATACCCTTTCTCATGATTGGCTTCACCTGTGTATGTAGGTCAAGGGTCAATGAGCTTACCAAACAAATGTTGTGTTCCAATAATTAGTGCTAAAGGTATTCAAATCAATAAAACAACAAGGGTGCCCAAATTTATGCACTTGCCTACTTTTGTTTAAGTAATTATTGCACACTTTCTGTAAATCCTATAAACTTCATTTCACTTCTTAAATATCACTGTGTTTGTTTGCTATATGATATATTTAATTGAAATTGCTGTTCCGAACAACCAATGATCCATAAAGGAAAATCTTGAAAATTTGGGAAGGTGGGGGACAGACTGCAGTGTCAAACACAACATAATGGATTCAGCTTGGGTAAAAGGCAACCTAAAAATATAAGACGAGGCTAAAACCAGGCTACAAATGTGTGTGTTTTCTCTCTCTCTTTTGTGATCGGTTATTATGAAGAGTGAAGAGTTGACCTTGAGCACCTTTAGTGATCACTGAAGATAATGTTTCTCTAGAAAGAAACTCATAACAACGATTACTTGGTAAAGATGGCAAAATGGTTTATACACTGTCGCCTTAATCCTTACAGCAAGAAAATTAGTGTCAAGCCTCAATATTAACTGCTGGTCTTCTTTGGAGTTAGCGTGTTGAATGAATGGATGTGACCGCCTAGCAGTGTGTGCAATATAAGCAACAACAGAAGTGGACTGTAACAGAAAATATTGATTTATTTTATAAATAAACTGTAAATACTTCATTAAGATCCTGTTAGCTAGCTAGTCACAATTCAGGCCTGTTAGCTGGAAACTTACTTTAACTATGAGCAGTGTCTTTATTAGGCGAACTTGCAAAGTGCATGGCCTCTTGTTTCGCACCTCTCAAACACGGTTTCCATTGTGTTACCAGATGTTTGATGATCACAGGTAGTTAGACAGCATCAAACATAATGATCCTAAATGATCCGCTATGCTCTCTTATCTCCATCACCTTCTTTTACCTCTTCGCTGGTGAGCATGCTTGTTTGAAGTGGCTACCAGGCCAAGGCTATAAACTAGGCTGAGTAAAAGGGGGACAAGATCCAGCTGAACACATACAGTGAAGACTGCAACCAGCTGCAGAGGAAGCTTTTGATTAAAAAGATGCTGGAAGTCAAAATGCCCTCTTTACTTCCATAAAGCCCAGAGTCTCCTCTGTCCTGAAGATTAGACGTTCTGTGCTACTGTGTAAAAAACCTCCTCTGTGCAGCACTATTGCACCCATTCCTGTAAACAGAGGCAAACTCATTGCCCAGCAGCAGCCCTTAGGGGATAATGTTACTTTCTTAGTAGTACTAAGTGTCTGTTGCTTCCCAAGTAGTATCGACCTGTCTCCTTTCCTCTGCACTGCATGAAAACAGACATGTTCTCTCCTAATTCAAAAAAGTGCATTCTAAATTTAACATGCATATTGCCAGATTTATGAAACAAAAAAACCTACTTGTACTTTTCTGAATTTAATTAAAATAATTAAGCATATTCAGAACAGAATTCCCTTCACACTGCACTATAAGAACAGCCCTTTCCAGGAATCTGAACTGTATGGTTTTGAATCACAACTTAAAGAATGTCTGAGTCTAGCACCTCAGATGGCTGAAAGTGAACCATTAGTCATCTATTCATTATACCTTTTACTCAAATACACGATGGAAATCCAATGATCTTTTATTCCAACAGTTTTCCAAACAGTAATCCATATGTCATCCCCTGTTTTTGTCCCGCTGTTACTGTCCTCACCCACATGCACCAGAGTCCCCGGAGAACCTGCTGTGAGGTAACAGTCAGTGCTAAAGTTTCATAAATACAGACACACTTGG